GATTTGTATAATATTTTGTATAATCTTCAGCTTTATATCTTTTTTATTTATCCCAATATAAATTTTTAAAAAGTGTCTACAATACACTGGTAGCCCCCTGTAGCTTCAATACCACCTTTTATTCTTGTTTTGTTTTTATGAAAGGTGAAACTGAAGAGGATTATAGGTGGGCTCTAACTCACATTAAGCATTTGTTTAATGAAATAGAACAATCTAGTATTATTGTAACAGATAGAGAACTTGCCCTAATGAATGCTCTTGGTACTATCTTCTCTAATTCAAAAAATTTACTTTGTATATAGCACATTAGTAAAAATATCTTAAAAAATTGTAAGCCACAGTTCTCAAAAGAAGTGAGTAGTGTAGAAGGCAATGAATGAGAAGATTTTTTTGCTAAATAGAATAACATCATTCAATTAGAGACTGAAAATAAATTTGATATAAAATGGAATAATTTTCATTTAACTTATGCCAGTAAACCAAAAATTATTTCATATATTGAAAAACCTGAATGCCATGGAAAAAAAGGTTTGTAAAAGCATAGACAGATATATTACTTTACCTTGGAACTACTTCAATTTCCCGAATTGAGGGTGCATATACAATTCTCAAAACATATTTTCAAACATCTGCGGGAAACCTTTACCGTGTTTATACAACAATATTACTAGCAATAACAAACCAAAAAAAGAAAATTGATAACATGACTAAGTCAGAGCGCATTTGCTTTCCAACTTTTACTATTAATAATGTTCTGTACAAAAATATCAGAGGTAAAGTTTCAACTTATGTTTTAAAAAAAATAAATGAGCAATATCAAAGAGCAAAACATGTTATTGCATAAAAGCCCTTGCCACCATGTAGTGGATTTTTTTTAAGAACTATAGGATTGTCTTGTATTTATATTATCCAATGCTATAGAGAAAATCAGAGTCTAATACTTGATGATGTTTATAAACATTGGCAAATTTCTAAAAACCTACCAACTACTGAAATCAAAGAAAATACTTCTCATTATGAAGACTCATTTCAATCACTCTTACAAGATTTATAGCAAAGGTATTAAAAATGGCCAACATTTCAACAATCAACAGTACAGGAGTCATTAAAGGATATAATTGATATGCAGTTTATAACTTTGCAAAACCCCAATGTAATCTGTACTAAAAGACATCCTTCTGGTGCTTCTAATCACCAACAAACTAACTCAACCAAGAGAGATCTCTCTGGTTTTGAGTTAGTAGAACCCAAAGTAAGGCATTGTACTATTTGTCAGCAACCTGGGCACAATGCTCATACCTGCCCAAATAGAAATGACTTTTTATAAATTTATTTTGAGTGAATTAAATATATAAATAGTAAAGGAATTCTTACTGTCAAATATTACTATTAGAGTTCTTTTATAAAATGTTTTTTATCTTTTTCTGCTCATAAATATTTTAAAAAACAAAAATAATTGTATTATATAATAAAACAAAAAGCTTTAAAATATAGCAATTGGTTTTAACTTATCAGTAGTACGCAAAGTTTTTGCTATAATAAATACTGAATGCGCTTTTCTTTAATTAACAGTACTTTTTCAAAGATCTTACACCTTCTTAAATAATTTAGCAAGTTTATTTTATAGTTCAAACATTTGCAATTAAGGCAAAAAAATAAAATAAACTTGCCAACGAAATAACATAACTATATAAAAATCAGTAGTAGTTTTTTAAGTATTCTCAAAATCTTGAGTGTTTATATATTTAACTGTAATAGTGAGAAACGATGTTACTTGAATGTCTAGTATTAGTCACTTGATTATGTGGCTATTTGACTAATTACATATAAGGTTGCGATGATCATTTCATGTACGATTAGAAATTTTCGTTAGAGTTCCAATCCATTATCCATTTATCCATTTATCCATGGATATCCGGATATCAAATGGATAAATGGATAAAAT